GCTCTGTATCAGAGAATTCTACAGGAGAATGTCAGACCATCCGTCTGTGAGCTGAAGCTGAAGCGCAGCTGGGTAATGCAGCAAGACAATGATCCAAAACACACAATCAAGTCTACATGAAAATTGCTAAAAAGCAACAAATTGGAAGTTTTGGAATGGCCTAGTCAAAGTCCAGACCTAATCCCAATTGAGATGTTGTGGCAGGACTTGAAACGAGCAGTTCATGCTTGAAAACCCACACGTCACTGAGTTAAAGCAGTTCTGCATGGAACAGTGGGCCAAAATTCCTCCACAGCGACGTGAGAAACTGATCAACAACTACAGGAAGCATTTGCTTGGAGTCATTGCAGCTAAAGGTGGCACAACCAGTTATTGAGTGTAAGGGGGCAATTACTTTTTCACACAGGGGAATTGGGTGTTGCATAACTTTGTTTATGAAATAAATATGTAATTGTTGTGTTATTTGTTCACTTATGTTCCCTTTATCTAATATTAGGTTTTGGTTGAAGATCTGATAACATTCAGTATCACAAATATGCAAAAGCAGAGAAAATTAGAAAGGGGGCAAATACTTTTTCATAGCACTGTACATGCCCGTCTGAAGTTTGCCAATGAACATCTGAATGATTCAGAGGAGAACTGGGTGAAAGTGTTGTGTTCAGATGAGACCAAAATGGAGCTCTTTGGCATCAACTCAACTCGCCGTGTTTGGAGGAGGAGGAATGCTGCCTATGACCCCAAGAACACCATCCCCACCGTCAAACATGGAGGTGGAAACATTATGCTTTGGGGGTGTTTTTCTGCTAAGGGGACAGGACAACTTCACCGCATCAAAGAGACGATGGACGGGGCCAAATCTTGGGTGAGAACCTCCTTCCCTCAGCCAGGGCATTGAAAATGGGTCGTGGATGGGTATTCCAGCATGACAATGACCCAAAACACACAGCCAAGGCAACAAAGGAGTGGCTCAAGAAGAAGCACATTAAGGTCCTGGAGTGGCCTAGCCAGTCTCCAGACATTAATCACATAGAAAATCTGTGGAGGGAGCTGAAGGTTTGAGTTGCCAAACGTCAGCCTCGAAACCTTAATGACTTGGAGAAGATCTGCAAAGAGGAGTGGGACAAAATCCCTCCTGAGATGTGTGCAAACCTGGTGGCCAACTACAAGAAACGTCTGACCTCTGTGATTGCCAACAAGGGTTTTGACACCAAGTACTAAGTCATGTTTTGCAGAGGGGTCAAATACTTATTTCCCTCATTAAAATGCAAATCAATTTATAACATTTTTGACATGCGTTTTCTGGATTTTTTTGTTGTTATTCTGTCTCTCACTGTTCAAATAAACCTACCATTAAAAAATTAGACTGATCATGTCTTTGTCAGTGGGCAAACGTACAAAATCAGCAGGGGATCAAACACTTTTTTCCCTCACTGTAGGTCCCAGAATGGTGGGCTAATTGTTTTCCCTGGGGCCTGGAGCTTTTCCTAATCTAGTAACCTAACCAGGTATAAATCAGGACCCTATAGTCTGACAGTGATTAATTAGTTGTAAAAAGGGAGTGGAACCAGATTTACATTTTAGTCATTTAGCAGACACTAATCCAGAGCGACTTACAGGAGCAATTAGGGTTAAGTGCCTTGCTCAAGGATACACAGACAGATTTTTCAACCATCTGCTCAGGGATTCAAACCATTAACCTTCCGGTTACTGAACCAACACTCTTAACCACTAGGCTACCTGCCACCTAGATATACACATACTTTCTAAACAGGTCACATACTTTTAAACACATGGTTTTAAAGAAATTCTGGAAAAACTCCTGGCCCTAAGGAGGATACAAACCCTGTCAAACTGCAGCAACCTTGTTCATATGAATTATATTTTTTAACTTTCCTTTAGACACAACCACTGCAATTGGACAATAGAACTCACAGGGCTGAGCTTGCTTTATGCTGGTTTGCATCGCATAGCCTATGCAACTGCAATAAAAAAGTAACAGTCTATTTATGTAAATCAGTATTGTGTTTGATTAATTTAAGTTAATCATTTTGAATTAAAAAGGTCAAGGTATCCTAGCCAGCCAGCCCAAGTTTGGATATAGTCTAAACCAAATTTGATCACATTCACATTTTCTCCTACCACAAATGAATTGGGCTATAAATAGGGTACATAACATTACCACGGCCAGAGGACAAGACGGGACATTGGCTGTAGCCTATGCAGCTACGGTTATCAGAAGCCTAGTTGATCAGACTGAGAAATCGTCTCGTTTTCTTCCCAAACAGTTTAAGTGTAGGCTGCTGTAACATTTCTGTGAAGAGTTCTTTGATTGTGTCTGTCGGGAGTGATGCGTTATCACGTTTGCTAAGGAAATACCACAGGACAGAGCGGCGCACGCTTTGCTAGATAACGTGTTGTGTCCGGCCTACGCAACCTGTGATTTCCGTGAATCTGATTGGTCAAGACACAGAACCTGCAGCACGCCCGATATCAAATCTAGTCTCTTGAGTCATACAGCTGAAGTCCAAGTTAACTCACGAGTCATCGATGCTCTACTGACCAGAGATGTGGACTCAAGTTGCAAAATATGCTCAAGCAGTACTCGAATCCAAGGCACGTGACTCGAGTCCACATCTCTGGTCAGTAGCTATCCTTCTAAATGCTATGTACACTGGATAAACTAGCTATGATTTGAATGCATTTGTCTGAAAACGAACTAGTAGCCAGCATATATCGAAATTCAAACAGAATAAATATTATTACTTTTTTTCCCTCACCAAATTAGTGCACTAGGCCTTTATTAATCCTGTAGGCTCAGAGAAAAACAAGTGTCAGACAAATGTTTCGCAAGCGTTCCCCGAAGTCTCGCAATGGTGCGTCTGGGTTTAGAAGCTGACTTTACAGTACCAAAGGATATGCTGTTTCAGGTTGTTGCTTCTAATCCAAACTGAGTCGCTCCGTTATCCTATTAGTAAAGTGTAGCTAAATTGAGCTATTAAGTTTGGATTCCCATGCCATATTGCACCCTATATTATATCCATTATAAAGCAGAGGAACATTGTTTGGACATTGAACCCTTTGTTGCTTGGCCATGACTCTGCAACAGTGCAATTAGCATTAACATAAAGTTGAATGTCTGTCAAAACACTAGATGAGTGTTGTGATCATATTGATTTGATTTGATCATGAGAATTTTTCTCATGTCCCTCTGACATTCCATATATATATATATATATATATATATATACACACACACACACACACACACACACACAATAGGTTGTGTACTGCACATAACCAGTGGCATAAACATTATTTTCATAAGACAGTCATTTTCTCCACAGCAGGGCAAGGTTCAGGCTAGGTTGAAGTATTTCTTAGACCTAGGGGTCAGGCACAGGAATGTCAGAGGGACATTGGCCACATTAAGAAAATCATTAAGCAGGATCTCCATATGGCTTAGCCAGGGATCTGCAGAATGTACAGATGTTTCAATCTTTATAAAAATCCAAAAAGGATTCTAGAAGAAAAGCCTAACCCTAGGAGATACACACCAAGCATTGCTTGTAAAACCGTATGATCATGTCCCATGCCACAATAAGGACTGTTTAGCATTAACATGGCTAATAGAGCAGGCTTCATGGCATGTCAATATCACCAAGATTCAAAAACAGTCCTACAAAAGTGTACAGCCAGGAAATATGATGAATAATAAGTATACTTGTGTATAACCCCCCCATGTCACCCAGATACATCCTCAAACATTTAATTAAATGAAAAACATGACCAAAAAAAGTACAATTTCCTACATTTATTTGTTTTAAATCATAAAAATGTTCCTTACAAAAAAAGCGTACATTCTGCACGTTGCACTGAGTGGTGGTAATGAGTGTGTGAGAAACTCCAATACCGACAGAAAGAGAACACACACACACACACGGGACAGGCTTACTATACTGACAAACACACCATAGAAATCAACCCATCCAAAAATAAAGATAATGTTCACTTGTCTGTCAGGAGACTCCAAATATTTTGACAAATGTGTGTATTTATTTAAAATAAAAAAACAAGAGATGGAGTAGAGAACTACACACAAAAATGCAGAACGTCTACATTTAGCACAGGAATGTTGGACCTTAAAATACAAAATAAACAAAATGCCCACAAACCGGGACAATAAGATGGGGGATGGGAGGGATTTGCTTCAATCTGAGTCTCCTGGTTTAGACGAACTGACCAGAGTACTGATTCACACTGAAAGAGTAAAAAGAAAGAGAATAAAAACAGAATTCACAGGAGTCAATAAAGACATATAGAGGGGTTGGGGGTGGGAGAGGGGGATGATGGAGTCAGAGACAGGGAACGAGCACGTGATGCGGGCCTTGTCGGAGGCGAGGGTTAGTCCTGGTGTCCGAGCAGGTGCAGTGCGCTGGGGGAGGAATAAGGGAGACAAGTTTAGTCACCATGGCTACGAGGCAGCATCAGCATTTCAGCATCTGCGCAATGAGACATGCTGCCGGTTGCCGGGGAGACAGAAGAGGAGGAGCCTGTGCCGTTTGGCAGACTGTGATTTGTTGTCAATTCATCTAACTAAAAACAACAAAATCACTAGTCTTCCACACAGCAACAGGCAGGGAAGAAGTCCACTCCCTGCTTCACACTGAAAAGGCTCTTAGGTCATAAAATCACACATTTCACCAATCATATTCTTCAAAAATCTGACATTTTATGATTAACGCATCAAACAAATATTGACCTCCAGTTTTGTATCAATATAAGAATACTTGTTTTTAATACAGCCATCTCACAAAAGAGGAAGCTCAAACTACTTTCACATTGCATGGGAGGAGAGAGGTTAGTCAACATCAGCAGACAGAGACAATAATAAGAGATTAAAAGGAGGTAGAAAAATATATATCTACACATATATATTTTGAGATCAAAAGGTGGATACAAAAACAGGAAGGTATAGAAAAGGTAGACATGAAACTATTCACTCAGAGGGCATCCAGAACTTGCCTATTCTGCAATAGGTACTGAGCGTTTTGGATCTGGTCCTGGGTGCCGCTAATGGTGATGATGCGGTCCTCGGAACCCTCCAGTGGCTCATCGATCTTAATGGAGGCACCAGACTCATGCCGGATCTGCTTGATCCTCTGGCCTCCCTTACCGATGATGGAGCCGGCCAGCTGTAGAAAACACCAGGGTCAACTGAATGTCATGCACAATAGTGTGAAAATACAGGATAAGTGTGTTCTGTGTGTGCGTGTGAATGTTGCATAAGGGTTTCACAGGCCATGGTGGGCGAGACAGGCCGAGCCATTGCTCTGTATGTGAACATAGTGTGTGTGTGTGTGAGAGCGTTAATTGGGAGTTCCCCCTCTTCTGGTTATACACACATCTTTGGGGATCGTCACTTGTGTGGTGATGACTGGCCCTCCCATATCGTTATAGGAACTGCGTCCACCTAACACACACATACACATGGAGCATAAAGTAACATACACACAAGGAGAGATCATAGAAACAGCTTCAGGAAGTATGGAGGCTCTATTAACAAAACCATAATCTAACAACATATTGAATACCAAGCTGCTGGGACGTGCTTCTATAGACTCACCAGACTGATAGGAGTCCCAGGATGAGTTGTTATCTGTTTGAAAGGCGAGAGAGAAAATAGATCTACAGTTAGGGAAATTGGCCTTATTAGAAAATATGCTCAAATGTACACATCCACAGCAGACTGGTACCATAAACAAACAAGTATTTACCAACCTGATACAGAGCAGGCCAACACCTTTGAAATGACAAAACAAAGATAGTCGACAAGAACCCTGGTGTAAAACAATACACTCAAGGCTGTTGAGTGTATTATTTCCTATGCTCCCTTGATTGTGCAATTGTCGGTCATGCAGGGCTCCCTTGTAAAAGAGACTCCATCCTGCCTAAATAAAAAGAATAACAAAAATGTGTAGCCTTATACAGCAGACCAGCTGAAATCCTGTTCTATAACATACACTGGAGAACCACTAGCCCTCTACGTTCTATAAAAGCTGCTGGGCGTAAAACTGTAAAGAAGTTGGAAGAAAACAAACCTAACTGTGCATGCCCAGGCATATCATCAGACTGCATACAAAGAGGCACTGAACACTTGCACGCAAGTCGGACTATACAAGTCTCATTGCAAATTGTGAGGGGAAACCCCAGAATGCTATTTTCTGTCATCAAAATAAGTTAAACCCCCAGATAACTCCTTTACCCCCTCCATTGAGCAATGCAACAGTTTTCTTGATTTCTTCCCCAATCCAAAATCAATTATTGCACTGTACAAACTACCCCTTGCTTGGGACATGCCCCTCTGCTTCATACTGAGGCTCCTAGTTGCAGTTTCAACAAATTCTCATGGACAACCCCAAAATCTGTCTCTGAAATTGTCCAAAATATGAGGTCAACTACCTTGGACCCTCTTCCCACAGCAAAATCCAGCCTCACTCTTCTCAGTCCAACTATAACCAAAATCATAAATTACTTGTTTCAGGCACTGTGCCTAATTCCCTGAAAACTTCCTCCATTATACAAACCTTGAAAAAACCTGGACTGGACCCAACACCCTAAGCAATTACAGACCAATTTCCAACCTACCCTTTTCTATCAAAGGTCCTTGAACGTGTGGTCTCAATACAGCTACAGAACTACCTTTCAACCAACAATCTCAATGAACCCTTCCAGTCCGGCTTCTGTGTATAGCACAGTACAGAGACAGCCGTGGTAAAAGTAACACATTACTTGTTGATGACAGCTGATGGAGACACTAGCATCCTTTCACTTTTGGACATCACAGCAGCCTTTGTCACAGAGAATCATGAGATCATCATCAGCAGACTTAAGAACTTGCTTGGATTCTCTGTCACAGCACTCCTGTGGTTTAGCTCCTATCTGACTTACAGACAAGAATTTGTGACTCTTGGAAATTATAAATCCAACCCTGCCAGTCACTCAAGGGGTCCCACAGGGCTCTGTTCTAGGGCCACTCTATATACACACACACGCTGCCACTTGATATACTAATACGAAGATTTGGACTAAACTTGCATTTTTATGCTGATGACACATATGTGAGGACAAGACAGACTAACAACGAAACCAACAGACTGTCTAGATAAAATCAAGAGACAGATGCAGTTGAACTTCCTAAAACTTAATTGCAGCAAAACAGAGCTTGTGTTTATTGGCTCTAAGAGTACACAGAGCAAAATGAGCACATTTTCGCTTTCTCTGGATGATGACACCAGCACAGCTTCCCCGACTGCTAGAAACCTTGCTGTCAACCTCTCATTTGAAGCACACATCCGCAACATCAAGAAAGTGTCATTTTTCCACCTGCGTAACATCGCTTGAATCAGGTCGTTCTTGTCCACTGTGGATCCTAAGAAGCTTGTGCACGCCCTGGTAACTTCTCAGCTTGACATCTCGGCACTGCTGACAGGAATCACAGTAAGGGTCCTGTCTCAACTCCAGATGATCCAGAACGCAGCTGCCAAGATGCGCTCACAAACTACACAAAAAAAAACTCACATCACCCCTGTTTTACTCAACTTCCATTTGCTTCCTGTTCGATACAGGATACAATTTAAGATTCTGCTGCTCACCTTGAAAGCCCTCAAGGGTGATGCATATGCCAACTTCTAAATACATATGCCAACTTCTAGAGAACTATTCCCCAGCACACCGATAATCAGACTCAAACTGCTTGGTCACACCAGTCACAAACCTGTGCAGCATGGGTGATAGGGCCTTCTCACGTGGCCCCTCAGCTCTGGAATGCTCTACCTACACGTCAAGGAGGCAGCTTCCATTTCCTTGTTTAAAACACAACTAAAGACCTACATTTTCAAGCTAGCTTTTAATGTTTGATATCTTAATCTGTTTACAGTCTATATTTTGTATTAGCAGGTAATGGTTTAATGTATTGAGATTTGTTATCCTACCTTTTCATGTTTTGTTGCTGAATTTTGTTTGTGTTTTGTTTTCTACCTTATGCGCATTGAGCATGGGAAATGCGCTTGACAAATTAAATATTGTGCCACTTGAGACAGCATGACAAACTGAACTTCTAGACAGAACCACATAGGAAGAACGGAACAACTCACCATATCCACCCCCACCCTGGAGAAAGAGAAAAGAGAAGGGGGAGCAGGTTTAAACACACATTTCCTTGTGATCGGTTGTATACAGTCATGGATGGTCAGGATTAGGGTTGGGACCTCAAGATACGATATTATCTCGATACTTAGGTGCCGATACAATATGTATTGATTCTCACAATTCTATATGTATTGCGATTCGATACTGCGATTTGATGTCCAAACTTATTGCTCACTATAAGTCTGCTGCAGAGAGACCACAGAGCATTAGAAAATACGTTTTGATCAGTCATGGAAATAAGTGCTGAAAACATATTGACTCACTATTTAAAAAGAAGATGGAGAACATGTTATAGAATAAAAAAATAGTGGAGTTTAGCAACAAGGTAGCGTAAAATAAAATAACGATACTTGGAGTCAAAGTATCAATATATAATATTGTCCAAAATAATATTGCGATATGTAACTATGGATTCTCCCCCCCATCAATAGTCAGGATGAGGCCAGTTTGTCCAAAAGCCCCTATTTGATGCTGAGACCCCTGCCCCATTCTCTGCTTGCATCCATCAGCCACTCATTCCACAGCTTTCACCTGCTATTCAGCGGCTCAGTCACCAGGGCAACAAGCGATTCAAAAATCAGTTGCCGAGCAACCGGAGGCAGTATCCTGCCAGCTCTCAAAGAGAACCCACCAGTCTGTCAACAAAGCGTTATTATTAACGCCTAGCAACCACAGCACAGTCCCGCCGCCCCATCAACCACAGCCAGCCCATGATTGCATAGATGGTAGTGGTCATGGTGGTATGGGTAATTATTACTGTGAAGTTACTCATTTCCTGTGTTTACGGTTATGGTTTACTATGGTAAAGTCATGTTTTATTACATGTTTCATGTTAGTGTTAAAGGTGTTGTGGGGTTTTATAGTGGGTTTAGCTGTGGCCATGGTGAATAGGTTATTATCAGGCAATTACAATCATTGTCTAGGAAAGACCATGATGATGCTTTCAGACAATAAATGCCAAGACGACTGTGGCATGCATTTAGTTAAGGGTCACTAACCATGTTATCGCCATAGCGATCTCCTGGTCTCCCTCTTCTGTCACTGCTAAAAGAAAGACGGAGAAAATGAAAGTCTGACTTGAGGAAAATATTGACATAGCAGAGGGCTTTTCAGCAGCTCTCTGATCCAAGTCAAACCACACACATTCACAGACCCAGGCAGAACACACACAGTCAGAGAAAAACACAGCATTCACACAAAAGTAAGCGGTGATGACAGACTAATGACAGAGCTGAAACACCGATGAGGCCAGTAATCAGAGGACCAGTCTCAGGCTAGACAGACTGACTACAGCACCGACTGAGTACGTTTACATGCACAGTAATCATTTGATATTAAACTGATTATGGCAGTAGGCAGATTATGCAAAAATCATGTAAACACCTTACTCTGCTTATCTTAATTGGCGTAAAGTCAAAATCAAAGTAAGCATACGGCGATTAAACACCTGGTTTTCTGAGCAATCTTTAAAATTATTAGGACATGTAAAGACCTTTAAATCGGCGTTCCAGCTGTGTATTTTATCTGAACATGTGCCAGCACCAGCCGAGTGAGCCTCCCTCTTTAGAGCGAGTGAAGTGAGTTCGGAACAACTGAATGTATGGGTCTTAGAAGTAGTTCACATACAAGCGTTATATGTCCGAACTCTTAATCAAATATGCGTCACAAAAATAACATGGTAGAACATTTATTTTGGTTTGCTGGTTTTCTGCATTTATCAGAGTGCCATCAAGTAGCCTGATTTCAGATGTGTCCATGTAAACAGGGTTATTAGGGAAATCATTATTCTTGCAAAGTATGTAAAAGTTTTAATCGAAATATTATAGGAATCTGACTATCCACAATAACGGCATTATTGTTTGCTTGTAACCGTACTCACAGACTCCAGACCAGTGGTCTACAAGGCTGGAAAAGGACTTACTTGGGTCTGGCATCTGCACTGCCCCGATAGGAGTCATAGGAGTACTGGTCATCTCTGCAAACGTGGAAATGGAACACACACACACACGAGCCCACACACACTATGAATGAAATACCATATATATCTCCTGTACTTTTGAGCGCAAACTGATGTAGACAAAGCAAAATGGATAGCAAGAGATGTAGGGAAATTAGAAATGGAGATGAGCGATGGTGAAGCTCTCTTACCCTCCTCCTCTGTGTGGTGGGGCCAGGTTGCGGCCACGGCTCACTCCCCTCCCCCCTCTCACTGGGTGGGGTGGTGGGGGTCCGCGGCGGGGGCTCATCTCCTCGTAGTCCCTGCGGGCGGGGGGCATGGGCCCCCCTCGACCCCCTCGTCCAGAGGGCCCTCGGTCATAACCTCCGCCACCTCGTCCCCCTCGCATGTGGAAGCCCCCCATTGGGCGCCGGCCGCCACCACCCCCACGCTCCTCAAACATCATGGTGAAGCCGCCGTAGTCGTACGTCTCGTCGTAGAAGTTGGGGTCATAGGGCTGGGCGCGCCCTTTTATGGGAGCCTGAGGGGGACAGGATCACGCATCATTTCTACAGACGGCTGGCTGTAGTATTTACACTGGTATGTGGTCCAACTTAACCAGCTCAGTCAATGGTTCAACAAGAGAACCAACAGTTTAATAAGAGCACCAACCTCAGCGATGAGCTCCAGCATGATCTTGATGCACTCAACGACGCGCTCAGACTTGCCGCCGACCAGAACCACACGGTCCGTGGACTGGGGACAGCATTCCTGGAACAGCTTGATGCTGGTCTGGGTGTTCTACAACGATCAGAGTCAACACAGGTCAAATTAGACAAAGCAAGGCCATAGGACTGAGAAGAACACACAGAAAAAGATTGAATCAGGGTCACCTTCAATTAGCTCTCAAGTATTTTAAAATGTTATCCCATATTTGTACGTACTGGACATGACCCAGGTGAGGAGATAAGAGTGCGAGTAGTTCAGAGAGCATAACTGTACCTCTCGCAGCTCTTTGATCTTGGCTCCCTTTACACCAATGATGCTACCTGCCAGGCTCTGGTGGATTAGTAGCCTCAGCTCACAGTCAAAGTCCATCCCATTGTACTGTTGGTACTGGGGGGGGGGGGTAAAATTTTAGCATCACCATATACAGATCTGTGCATTTTATATCTATATCCCATTGGATTATTTTTTTATCTGCACAAACAATATCTGGCTGTACCACACAGGACTATAATTGAACATTATAGGCAGCCATAACGCTCATCTCATTCATCTCCAACCCCAGGCTCACCTCTTCCAGTGTAGGGATGATCTTGAGCAGGATCTCTCCCACTGTCTCGATTTCCGCACTGATGCTCAGAATGCTTTAGACCCAACAATCACAGCGCAGGACATTCCCAGGGGGACCAATCAAATGGTGACCAGGGGTTAGAGAGGAAAGAAACTGTATTTCAAAACCAAGGTCAACTCTCCCTCAGCAGAACTTCAACCATAACATCTGATAATAAATGAAGACCCCCTTTCATCCGTTCCCAGCCGTGGGGATTAACCGGGTAGCTGTTGTGGTACACTCCCATAGAAATAGAATTACTAGAATGGACATTCCCATTCAAGTCAATGTTCTGTGATGAGTGGACCAGCGGCCATATCTAGTAATTCTGGTTCTACGTGCACACCCCCTTCAAATCACAATAGAGGAATAAAAGTGGACAGAATACCCCATAAACAATGTCTATCTATAACATATCAGCAGGTATCCATAAATAATAAATACACAAATAAAGAAAATTAACCCCCTCAGTGCGTTTGACAAAGAAAACCACCCAAAAAAAAAAAAACAGGTAAAAGGAACCCAAAGAAAGCAGGTGTGTTTTAGTGACCACTGGAAGAAGGAGGGGGGAGGGAAGGTTGGTGGGCAGTGGCGGTTTGCACCGATGGGGCCTGCTGCCAGAGCACTAAAGGAATTGTACTGTAGCACAACAAAAAAAGAAACAAAAAAAAGAATGAAAGGTCAATAAAAACAAGATGACAGAGTAGTACGCTATGCTAATCAAAATAAGGAACATTTTAAAGTAAACTTATAGATGGGTGAGAGTTGGCAGGGTCACAGTGAGTTATGCTCCCACCATTGGACAGGAGGATGTTGAGGGAAGGCAAGGAGGAGCGACATGGACTACAGGGATGAGGTGACAAATAAGTTAACTTTCAACAGTTCCAACAACGGCAAAAGCAATATGGAGAGTAAAGAAGAGAAAAAGACATACAACACTTGAACCCTAGCTGCTCTGCCTGGAATAACAGTCTTACGTTATTACAGTGGTCCAACCCCCCCAAAAAATATATATATGGGAACAAGGAAGAGGAAGATGGTAGGAGGGGAATGTGAGAAACTAAAACAGACTAGTACACCGATTCTGAGAGGGGAAGGAGGGAGGTGAGGAACGTTGAAGGGAGAGATACTGTCATTGAAATAAAATATAGAATGTTGAAATACCGTCACTAGAACAGAGGCAGGTTTAAAGTATTTGTTGAAACCCTCACTGAAAACAGAGGCTTATAATGCTGTCACTGAACAAAAGTGTACATGTTTGTCACAGGAACAGAGGCAGATTTTGATATTGTCACTAGAACAGAGGCAGGTTTGTTTGTTTATTTTCTGAAGTCAGGCAGTGAGAGGGAGGAGCTTAGGGACATACCGCTCAGGCCCACTGCTGTCTGGGACTGACACACTGGCATTGAACTGCAAGGGCGGTGGGCGTGGCATGGGCAGGGGCCATTCGAGCACACAGATGTCAATGAAGTAAGGCGCCCATTTAGGGAGGGGCACGATTATGGGCAGGGCCAGCCAGGGTGTCAGGTGGGCGGGCGCAGGAGGGGCGATCCAGAACATGGGCAACAGAGGAAGTGGGCAAAAATAAACAAAAATAAAAAACAGGAGGGGGAAGAGGGAGGGGGAAGAGGAATACATTTTAATACAGGCTAATATTCTTCATTGTGATATTCTCTCAGATTTTTTTTTTTTTTTTTTTTAAGAGAGCAGAAGTGGAGATAGTAAAGGAGACAAAGGTATTCAGGTAGAGAAATAGTCAGGGGTAGAATGGGGTCAGAAAATGAGGGGGAGATGTAGAGAGGGAGATGAGAAAGAGGGATAGCGGTAGAGGAGAGAGGGAGAAGAGTGGAGAGTGATGGAAGGTAGAGAAAGAGAGAGGTAATGACATTAAATGAGTTGAGAATTGGCCAGACTGTTTATATACACAAGACATTTCCTATAGGATTAATTGATGTTGGGTGCTATGTTAGCTCTACCCTAAAATTCACTGGTCCCACTCAAGTATTAATGAATGTCTTAGCGGTGCTGATGCCTGGTAGTAATAGCACTATTCATTACGCAAACGGAAATGGATTCACAAAAATACATTTTAGCTAAAAAGGCCATGTGTTTCATATTGATTAGCGGGCGGCCATTTTGATTACAATTACATTACACTTTGGCTTGACGATACCACAACAGGGGTGTAAAGCAGGTCTCAATACACATCATATCCCAGCATTAACAGTTACCCAAAAACCTCACAGCTTTACTTCCCCAACCATAGTTAACAGACCCATTTTCTTAAGCCCAACCAACCAATTTAGGTTGCCTTAACTTTTGCATATAAACTAGTCAAATCAGACACTCCCAAAGTACAACCATGTAAGGGGGGGCGGGTACTGTAAATTCCCAGATAAAAAGAGTGGTGTAAATGTACTCACGTCTGTGCGCAGGGATTTGATGTTTTTACCACCCTTCCCAATCACTGCTCCTGCATTCTGAACCGAGAAAAGACAAGTCAGATGATACCTAACTTACTGTGATATAACAACGTAAAAAATCCTCAGACATCATCTCCATACTACATCATCGAAACAGATTTTGACGGCATTAAATAAGACATGGAACCACGGGGCAGAAAAAGAAAACGTTCTTAACCCCCATAGATCTGGTCAAATAAAGGTTAAATAAACAATTAGGGAGGAAAGAAGATAGGCTACATAGCAGCATAAGTCATGGAGGTGTTGAAGGTAGGCAGGGGATTGTGAATGAGGAAGAGAAAGCGGACTGACTTTGCTCTGCAGGAGTATGCGGAGCTCCACCATGTCGTCTGTGTTCCTGGAGCGCTTAAAGGACTGCTCTTCATCCGTGTCCTCTGCGGGACGCTTACCTGAGAAAGAAAAACTGAGTTTAATCTCTCTCTCACACACCAGGGCTCCAGAATGCGACCATTTAGTCGCATTTTGCGACCTTTTGACTCGGCGAGTTACATTTTTAATTGGTCGCATCGGAGCGAGCTGAACATTCATTACATGGTTACTTCACTAAAAAGTTTCAAAACGTCCTATCTTTTCAGCGGCTAAAACCACAATTTGGTCAAACAGTAAAGTGCATTATCCTCATGATTCCCGTAATGCAAGTTTCGTAGTAACTGTTTCACTGGACCCTGATGCTGTGATGAGTGAGCCAATCTCTTGTCCCTGATGTGCGCTCCCCCCAACAAAAAGGGTTCTGATTGTATAACATTTCAAAATCCAATTGCGGGGAAAACACAGCTTTGGAAGCAACTACTGTTGATACTGTTGAAAAGAGGATGTTTTCATCTTTATGTGAGTATAATTTGTATTTCTCAACACTTTATATTGAGCTCAATAGTCGCCAGCAGATTGCGACCCTACCATTACGCTTGCTTACACTGAGCTGCACTGGGGTTGGAACGCAATCATGGTTAGATTAAGACACCGCAGAGCCGGCGCGAGACATGGGTCAGAAACGTACCTCAATGCATGGGATGTGCCTCTGTACTTTACCTACATCCAAGCTGATACGTTAAGATTGAAATACTGCTAGTTTTTCCGGAAAACATCACTTTTCGTTCTCATGCTATCGGTAGCCACCGCCACCATTTTGGAATGGCAGTGTCAGCCAATCAGCTCCTTTGTTGTTCAGCACAACGTGCCATTCCATAATGGTCGCTGTGGCTACTGCTACAAAGCATGAGGACGAAAAGTGACATTTTCCAGAAGAATTTGCAGTATTTCAATCTTCTCTGTGTATAAAATGTGGAGTTATGGGACATTTAAAACTGTAATATCTTATGTTTCACCGAGTCGTGGCTGAACGACGGCATGGATTACATACAGCTGGCGGGATATACGCTACATCGACAGGAGAGAACGGCTGACTCCGGTAAGACAAGGGGTGGCGGTCTGTGTATCTTTGTAAACAACAGCTGGTGCATAAAATCTAATACTAAGGAAGTCTCGAGATTTTGCTCGCCTGAGGTAGAGTATCTCATGATAAACTGTAGACCACACTATTTACCAAGAGAGTTTTCATCTATATTTTTCGTAGCTGTCTATTTACCACCACAAACCGATACTGGCACTAAGATTGCACTCAATGAGCTGTATAAGGCCATAAGTAAACAGGAAAACGCTCATCCAGAGGCAGCGCTCCTAGTGGCCGGGGACTTTAATGCAGGGAAACTTAAATCTGTTCTACCTCATTTCTACCAGCATATTAAATGTACAACCAGAGGAAAAAAAAACTCTAGACCACCTTTACTCCACACACAGAGACGCAGCGCCATCCAATCACAACACACATCAATCCATACAGACATATACATGCGCACTTGGTGAGGTGCGAGGGGCAGGAACAGTAACAACATGTACAAAGCTCTCCCTCGCCCTCCATTTGGCAAATCTGACCATAACTCTATCCTCCTGATTCCTGCTTATAAGCAAAAACTAAAGCAGGAAGCACCAGTGACTCGTTTAATAAGGAAGTGGTCAGATGAAACAGATGCTAAGCTACAGGACTGTTTTGCTAGCACAGACTGGAATATGTTCCGGGATTCTTCCGATAGCATTGAGGAGTACACCACATCAGTCACTGGCTTCATCAATAAGTGCATCGATGACGTCGTCCCCACAGTGACCGTACGTACATACCCCAACCAGAAGCCATGGACTACAAGCAACATCTGCACTGAGCTAAAGGGTTGAGCTGCCGCTTTCAAGGAGCGGGACTCTAACCTGGATGCTTATAAGAAATCCCGCTATGCCCTCCGACGAACCATCAAAACATGCAAAGAATCAATACAGGACTAAGATTGAATCGTACTACACCGGCTCTGACGCTCGTCAGATGTGGCAGGGCTTGAAAACGATAACAGACTACAAAGGGAAGCACAGCCGCGAGCTGCCCAGTGACACGAGCCTACCAGACTAGCTAAATTACTTATATGCTCGCTTTAAGGCAAGCAACACTGAAGCATGCATGAGAGCATCAGCTGTTCCGGATGACTACGTGATCACGCTCTCCGTAGCCGATATGAGTAAGACTTTTAAGCAGGTCAACATTCACAAGGCCGCAGGGCCAGACGGATTACAAGGACGTGTACTCCGAGCATGCGCTGACCAACTGGCAAGCGTCTTCACTGACATTTTCAACCTCTCCCTGACTGAGTCTGTAATACCAACATGTTTCAAGCAGACCACCATAGTCCCTGTGCCCAAGAACACTAAGATAACCTGCCTAAATGACTACCGACCCGTAGCACTGACGTCTGTAGCCATGAAGTGCTTTGAAAGGCTGGTCATGGCTCACATCAACACCATTATCCCAGAAACCCTAGACCCACTCCAATTTGCATACCGCCCCAACAGATCCACAGATTATGCAATCTCTATTGCACTCCACACTGCCCTTTCCCACCTGGACAAGAGGAACACCTACATGAGAATGCTATTCATTGACTATAGCTCAGTGTTCAACACCATAGTGACCTCAAAGCTCATCACTAAGGTAAGGACCCTGGGACTGACCACCTCCCTCTGCAACTGGATCCTGGACTTCCTGACTGGCTGCCCCCAGGTGGTAAGGGTAGGTAACAGCACATATGCCACGCTGATTCTCAACACAGAGGCTCCTCATGGGTGCGTGCTCAGTCCCCTCCTGTACTCCCTGTTCACCCATGACTGCATGGACAGGCACGACTCCAACACCATCATTAAGTTTGCTGATGACACAACAGTGGTAGGCCTGATCACCGACAACGATGAGACAGCCTATAGGGAGGAGGTCAGAGACCTGGCCGTGTGGTGCCAGGATAACAACCTCTCCCTCAACGTGATCAAGACAAAGGAGATGATTGTGGACTACAGGGGAAAAAAATAGGACTGAGCACGCCCCCATTCTCATCGACGGGGTTGTAGTGGAACAGGTTGAGAGCTTCAAGTTCCTTGGTGTCCACCAGCAAACTATCATTGTCCAAACACACCAAGACAGTCGTGAAGAGGGCACGACAAAGCCTATTCCACCTCAGATCCTCAAAAAGTTCTACAGCTGCATCATCGAGAGCATCCTAACTGGTTGCATCACCGCCTGGTATGGCAACTGCTCGCCCTCCGACCGCAAGGCACTACAGAGGCTAGTGCGTACGGCCCAGTACACTGGGGCCAAGCTTCCTGCCATCCAGGACCTCTATACCAGGCGGTGTCAGAGGAAGGTCCCCTAGTCATAGACTGTTCTCTCTGCTACCGCACGGCAAGCGGTACCGGAGCGCCAAGTCTAGGTCTAAAAGGCTTCTTAACAGCTTCTACCCCCAAGCAATAAGACTCCTGAACAGCTAATCATGACTACCCAGACTATTTGCATTGCCCACCCACTTCACCCCCCTCTTTTACGCTGCTGCTACTCTGTTTATTATTTATGTATAGTCACTTTAACTCTACCCACATGTACATATTACCTCAATTACCTAGAATAACCAGTGCCCCCGCACATTGACTATGTACCGATACCCCCTGTATATAGCCTCCCTACTGTTATTTTATTTTACTGCTGCTCTTTAATTATATGCAATTTTTTACTTAACACTTTTTTTCTTTTCTAAACTGCATTGTTGGTTAAGCGCTTGTAAGTAAGCATTTCACTGTAATGTCTACACCTGTTGTATTCGGCGCATGTGGCAAATAACATTTGATTTGAGTACAGTGGCACATCCCATCCCTGCATTGAAGTACGTTTTCCGACCCATATCTCACACTGTCGTATTCATCTAACCATGATTGCGTTCCGACCCTAGTGCAGCTCAATGTAAACAAGCGTAACGGTAGGGTCGGAATCTGCTGGCTAGCTCAATAGCAACTATTTTACAACGAAGATATTTGATATGGCTTTGAGATAAGGAGTGTGTGAAACGTGCATCGGTCAATGCGCTTGCGCAGGGTAGTAGGCTACAACGGCATAATTTTTTTTAGGACATTACATTTACTGTTAGATTAATACAACTACTAGCAGTGCGTATTATATTTAGTGTTAATGATCTATACCGAACAAAAATATAAACGCAACATGCAACAATTTCAAAGATTTTACTGAGTTACAGTTCACAGAAGGAAATCAGTCAATTGAAATAAATTCCTTAGGCCCTAATCTATGGATATCACATGACTGGGCAGGATCGCAGCCATGGGTGGGCCTAGGAGGGCATAGGCCCACCCACTTGGAAGCCAGGTCCACCCAAGGGGGAGCCAGGCCCAGCCAATCAGAATGAGTTTTTCCCCACAAAAGGGCTTTATTACAGACAGAAATCCCCCCCCTTTTCAGACGATCCCGCAGGTGAAGAAGCCGGATGTGGAGGTCCTGGGCTGGCGTGGTTACACTTGGTCTGCGGTTGTGAGGCCGGTTGTATGTACTGCCAAATTCTCTAAAACGACATTGGAGGCGGCGTTTGGTAGAGAAATGAACATTCTATTCTCTGGCAACAGCTCTGGTGGACATTCCTGCAGTCAGCATGCCAATTGCGCGCTCCCTCAAAACTTTAGACATCTGTGGCATTTTGTTGTGTGACAAAACTGCACATTATAGAGTGGCCTTTTATTGTCCCCAGCACAAGGTGCACCTGTGTAATGATCATGCTGTTTAATCAGCTTCTTGATATGCCATATCTGTCAGGTGGTAGGATTATCTTGGCAAAGGAGAAACGCTCACTAACTGGGATGTAAACAAATGTGTGCACAAAATTTGAGCTAAATAAGTTTGTGTGCATTTGGAACATTTCTGGGATCTTTATTTCAGCTCATGAGAAATTGGACCAACACTTTATATGTTGCGTTTATATTTTTGCTCAGTATAGCCTGTGTTTTGAGTTCACTTCCTCATGTGGTGAATTATCCCAAAATAAATTAGTGGACATAAACACGTAGACAAATTCATCTCTATTGAACAACAACATTCAGACAATTCTGGAGCCCTATTTTAACAGTAAAATATAACAATACATGACAATCACTGGATTAGGTTGCACATCAAAATATATTGTATCATGCATTCCTGCTTGGACATGTTAGATAGACAACTTGTTTCTTGAATAGCCTACCAGCTCTGTAGTCTATTACACTGTCTAAAGCACTGTGAATGACTTTAAGGTGATTATGACTATGTTTTTCTATTGCAAAAAAACTATGGCGCAACCAAATCATGGGTTGGTGCCACCAACTGAAAAAGTTAGTGGCACCAGTGCCACCAGGGGGAAATTTGTCTGGAGCCCTGCACACACACACTGACTGGTTCTCTGGATCTGCATTCAGTTGATGTAGAAACGATACACATTTAATACTAATAACCACTAATTGTCCTTACATATTAAAACAGTATAGATGCAATAGATATGGCTACTTCACTACACCGTCTGCTATGCACCTTTTGGCACATATCTGGCAACTATAATTTAGGAATAGAAATGTTTATATTTTTGACCAGACATTGATTATTAGTAAGTCTTGAACACAGGAGAGGGCATAAACCTTGCACCACACCGCTTTCAATTTTTTTACATAACTACACTGTTCTTATTCATTTTCTAGATGAGTAACAATTATTTTATGAATACACAAAAGGATTACAACTCACCGTTTGTCTCTGTGTTACTGAACGAGGTCTCTTCTTCTTGTTGCTCAATTTCTGTCTCCATTGTCGGCTAACACCGGGCAGGGTAGGGCGGGCACCTCGGTCCTGGCAGCAGGTAACAGCGGGGAGAGAGGAGCGGCCAACTCGGTCTGACTGGCTGTGGATGGACATGATTGATGGAACGAGATGAGAGCAGGGTTTGGGGTTTCAGAACTGACTAGACAAAGTACGACAGAGGAGAGAGACTAGACTGGTGACCAACACTTACCACTATTTATTGTGAGAAGATGGGCGTGTTATGGGCGGAACGAAACAAAGTCTCAGAGCAGCTGTGAACCTACTGAAAAAAGGCAAAGGTTGGTTAGTGGCATTAAAAAAAAACCTGGCCAAGAATAATCTTACAACACACTGATACAATTACAAAACTGTAATAAAAGGTGGATAAACGTTGGGCAATGAATGACATTGATAAAATTAAACATTGCTGGTGTGATGAGGAGTAGCATTTGGAACAGCATTCATTCAAATTAATGGTTGAACTGGAGCATATTCATTACGAAAACCATTTAAGAAGCAAACAGAGCAAAATGAGAATTTCTATTGGACACATTTAGGTAGGTCCCCAACCCGTTACGTTACGTTTAAGAAACATTTTGCAGCAGAATTAGCGTAATGAATACGCCCCTGCGCTTTAATACAATTCTGAAGGCGACCAGATGACACATACTGAACATACTGATGCGAAATGAAATGATACACATTTAATTTATTAATTTAAAGAAGGTCAATGCATGAGAAGTTACAATGCAGTTTTACTTGACAACACGACCTGACACAACGATATCTGAGTCGGGACAAAATGACAATGTCAATGCAAAGAGGGCTCATCTCAGAATCATCTCGCACCGATAATTATCTTCATCGTAATTGCACAGTGCTGGACACATGTTGAGCTAAAAACCTAGCTACAAGCATGCATTTGCTCATCGGGCATTATTTTGGATTGATGATGTGAGCTAGCCTACAGCGTTAATCTAATGATCGTCTAGGATTTATGTGCATTCCCGGTAATACACTCTGACCCCCGTGGACCGGTTCGTACATAAAGCATCCTCCATTCAGGCTGCAAGGCATCACTTCCCTCCTTACCATATTTAATAGCGAGCCGCCGGAAAAAATATCTATACCGTCTTAATCAAAAAAGTTTGGGTTAGGATGTTGCACACCGCCTTCAGACAAGGGTGTACCACATCCTAAACTGTCAGAAAATGGTGGAAAATCGAGTTATTAAGAGAGTACACATTTTTCCAGGCAGCTCTCCTAGTTAAGGAGGAAAATTATGCCATTGCAGCCTGAATGGAGGATGCTTTGTGTACGAAATGGTCCACGGGGGACTATATAGCCTCGCTATTGTTATTTTTACTGCTGCTCTTTCTTAAAACTGCATTGTTGGTTAAGGGATTGTAAGTAACCTTAGGTCTACACCTGTTGTATTCCGCGCATGTGACAAATACAATTTGATTTGACACGAGCATATTACAGGGAATGCACATCAATCTTAGACGACAGTGCCGTGGCAGATCTAGCGCCTAGGTTAGATGTGCGCATACGGTTTGAGAAAACAACTAGCTTGCTAGCTCTCGTCTAGACGACAATTAGCTCGATAGCAGCTAGCTAGTATGCATATTGGGATCTAGTTCGTTCATTCAGTTGGTTAAAGTATTTAGTAAAGATGGCTAGCTAGCTAAGGAAGGTAACTAGCTTGTTGTTTAGGTAGCTAACGTAACCAATTACCTAACGACGTTAGCCGTTGGACTGCTACAGTAATATGTAGCTAGTTTAGTAGTTATGGACAACAAACACAATCGTATACCTTTAGAATAAAGCTCTGAAAGCCATATCTACACTTAACGACACATTTCTAAATTTAGCCGTGTAAGCTATGCTAGCTAGCTACACCGGATAACTAGCTACAATAATTAACCAGCTAACGTTACTTTAGTTGTCTTAGTTAATTGGACATGATGTAGTTAGATACGCGAATGCTGTCAAATGTTTTTGCTTATACCATCGCATCAACATGTAATGACTGATTTATTCGTTGCAGAGATAAATCGAAATGTGTGTAAAACAGACCTGCTCTACACCGTGTATAGTTGCTACTCCTTTTCGACCCTTCTCTGAGGAAGAACGCAATCACAAAAAATGGCTGAGAAAAAAGAATGTGCTGTGAAGAAATAGATAGCTGCTTCGATTGGTGGAAATAGACCTTGAATTGTAAATAAGTAGCAATCATTCGATAGCTCATCTGTCACTCACATTATGGAGGCGTGTCTGAAGGAAATGTTGTTGGTGTCCCCACCAATGTTCCATACCGAGAAGTTTGGTTGACTTGCAGAAGTCCTTTGCTTTCAGTCTTGCTCGAAATGTAAATACTTACTAGCTATGTTCATATAGGGATGTAGCTAGCTAATGCTATCATCTTATTAACATGTAGATATCACATCTTTAGTGTGTTTCGCGCGAAGTCAAAAAATTATTATGGGAACCTTAGCACCTCACAGACATTTGGACTCTCCATGCCTCCAACTTTTGGCGCCTTGGCGATTCGCTCAGCGAAAAGCAGCTGTACTTGGCCAGGTAGTTACTTTGGGGGATATAGCTAGCTACAATTCTCATACAGAACGAATCCAAACCATTGTAACGTAAATGAAGAAAACCACCAATGAAAATAAACGTTCTACCACAGCGACCGTGTTATCTTTGGGAAGCATATTTTATTCTGAGTTCGGACTTTTAAAGTTTGTATGTGAAAACTACTTATAAGCAGTGGCGTGTATTCATGGATACCAAGGGAAGCCAGGCTTCTCCAAAAAAAAGGAGGAAAAAAACGTATAAAATAATTTATCTTCCGTCTCTGCGTTTTCATAATTTTCCTTCAATTCGCAAGAGGCTGAATGTATATCACCGGAGCGAAACAGCGTCGCTCTGTCTCTGTATGTGTAGGCCCTCTATCTGACATAAAGAGTATGACATTGTTGCTGCCCGTAGCATTGCATGCAAGGGAAGCCAGCTAGCATTTGGCCTCCCTTGATTAAAAAAAAAGTATAAAATAATAGCCAATCAGCGTTGCCCTAAACTGAGGGAGCTCAACTGTGAATGGTCTGGGAGCACCCCAAAACATTGTCAAGGGAAGCCAGTTTGGATTTGGCATCACTCCTATCACATCAAGCGAAATACATAATTGAAACAACTTGAATTGTTGCATCTTGTTGTGTTGTTGTCCTCCGATGGCTAGCTAGCTAGCTAAAATTGTCCCTTTCCTAAATTAGCCATGGATGGAGATAGGGATTTGGACTTGTGGTTTTACTTAATTCTCCGTACTGGCCAATGATTATATGACGATTCTGATCCCACCATAAATTCAGACAGTACAGTGTGCCCCTGGACTATGAGGATGAAAGTTCAATATGTACCTAGATGTAGAAGGCTAATGTTAACTAGCTAACGTTGCCCATCAAATAAGTTAGGCTAGCGAGCAAGCATTTTAGCCAGGTTGCAAAAAATACAAGCTTGTACTGTATGAGTCATAGACCAACATGAAAGAGAGGAGGATGGCATTAGCGTTTCTCTACAAGTAGTGTAAGTCAACATGTTTTTTCTACTTGCACGAACACACACACACACACACATAAATCAGAACCATGGACAGCATAGGTGATTTGATGATGTTGAAATTGAAATGGTGCTGAAATAGTGGAGGCAGCTCCTGTTTTCTTTGCGACTTGCGGTAACTCTCCGTGGTTCTAAATCAATAGTTGTTTAGTAGTCCAAAAATGTCGGAAACATTAACTTGCTTGACCATGTTGTAGGTTATGTAACTGTTTGTTACATGCAATATGCTTTGTGGACTTCACCGGACAGAGGTTGCTCTCTGGTTTTGTGATGAAACAAAGGTGTGGTTGAATTTATTCTGCAAATGTGCTTTACGGTGCCTCTGTTGTTAAGTTAATTCATGCAGCCATTAGGCTACTCTTGATTAAAACATTTTTGTTGGAATGTTAAACAAAACAATAATTTTTTGTTAAAATTATTCTGAATTCTGAAATTAGTTTTTGTGTGTGTAAAGAAACATGAGCTTATTACAGTATGAAAATATAGTATGTTTAAGAAGTAAGCCTTCAATATTTGATATTAGGTCTACTGCTGTATAATGTCTCTCATTGATGATTGATTAGAATAACTGTTGCTAATGTATGACAGTATTTTATTCTACACTTTTTATGTATACAAATCTGAATGAATTATTTTATTTTTATCCTCTGTACTCAGAATTACTTTTCACAGTCCGGCCCTTGCTACAGTTTAGTCCATGTAGGCTACTACACAATGACACATTTTCGGTCATGTACCTCTGAAGAGTTCCTGCATTTTTTCTGTGAGTAGTGGTGTGATGCTCAGGCCATGGGGAATCCGCTCTGTTCCCCCGTAAAGAAACGGAGTAATAGTCGACCTTTGCTTATTGCTATTCTGTGTTGTGCACACGCATCCAGATCTTTCGTCTGACTTCATTAAGCCCTAATCAGGTTCAACATCGAAATTAGGAGCCTGCAATGCATGTCATTAGCCTGTTATGCGTTAATGACTGTGCCCACTGCGGAGAGCGTGTAGTGCGGGGTAGTGAGAACCCATAGGCCTGGTGAATTATCTGTAAAAGTAGGAGACGGGCTTGGTTGGGTGGGTGGATTAGAGGGAAGCCACACATGGTACACTGTTCGCACACATATTTCTTATTCATATTGTTACATGGCTGAAATTGTAGGCTGAAAAGTGGATACATATATGTGGATACATACTGTAAAGTGGATACATAGATGATTACAAAGGCTCAGATGGTTGGCGTGTGGAGCTTGCAAGAACAGGGTGGTGGGTTTGAATATTGCACGAGCCTCGTCTAGGCTATACTATGTGTTGACTGTAAGTAGCTTTAATAAAGATGTCTGCTAAATACCAATGCTGTATTAATGCATAAATACCTTGATCTACAGAGCTTGTTCATGCCCTACACTCTTCTTATTCATAATACATAAACTAACTGGTACTATAACAGGTCATATTCGATAAATAGTCTGAACTTCAGAAAATAAAGACTTGTGTCCTAGCAAGGCATA